TCTCTCTCTCTCTCTCTCTCTCTCTCTCTCTCTCTCTCTCACACACACACACACACACACACACACACACACACACACACACCTCTGTCGGCCTTCATTCCCTCTCACTCCAGGCACTTTACTCACAAGGGGAAGTGAATCCAGCATTAGAGAAGTTCTGCAGGTAAACGGACTTGCATTTGAAGCTCCTGCAAACTTCCCCATGGCTGGGTTCCCCCCCTCCCCCATCGTTCTTTCCCTCTCGCTCCAGGCACTTTACCCACAAGGGGAAGTGATACTTCTACTGTCCATGAAGAATCCAGCCTTGGAACAGTTTTGTAGGTTAACGGACCGCTGCTCTGCCCACAGTCATGTGTTTTCAAGTGGCTGCTTGAAAATGCATGACTAGGGCGGGGAAGCAGTCCTCCTTTAAACTGGGGCAGTGAGCATCGGGTGGGCGGGGCAAGCGAGTGAGCGGAAACTGGGCAACCGGGTTGGGGGCGTGGCCAGCTAGATATTGCTACGGTTCGGTGACCCACGCCAAATTCTTGCTACCGGTTCGCCCGAGTAGATGCGAACCGGCTGAATAGCACCTCTGAAAGGATAGGTAGTGAACACAGCAGTCTCATGATTGTTCTTGCCAATGGGGTGAGGAGAGGGCCCAGACTTTCTGAAAATGGTGAGCAGCCTGTGCCATCTCCCTGCCGTATCATGTCCTGGAAGTCACAGTCCTCTCCCTGATGCTCTGCTTAACAACCCATGTCATCACTTAATGACCACAACTGAGAAATCTGAAATTGCAATCATTGAGCAAAGTGGTTATATTTAATAACCATTTCACTCAATGACCAAGATTCCAGGCCCAATTGTGGTGGTAAGTGGAGGCCTATTTGTGTACAATTTATATAAATATGGCATTATGAAATTCCAGTATAAAAACCTTTTTAAATATACCGAAGCATAAGAACTCACACTTACAACAATAAAAAACTAGTGCATGCTTTCTACCAATTAAAGCATGCAGTACTTTTTATCTTGAACAGTTTCTGAAACAGTATAATATTCCTAATTTTTATATTTTAAAAGCAGTTAAAATATTTGGCATGATATTGCAAGGGATTTTAAATATTAATTTATAAAGGCCTGGAAACCACAAGATAATGAATGGCAGATCAGCAGAAAGCATTTTTTTCTGAAGTGTGCAAACAGCATCTGCTGGAACTCAGGGCACAGTATCCTCCCCTCAGCACGACTGAGGGGAGGATACTGCATCAAATTCAAGATCACATCTTGACTGGCTGCAACCTGTGGGCATATACCAGTCCATTATCTGATTTTTTAAATATAAACAATGTTGTGCCTCAATGATTATATGGCCTAGACATTTTATTTAAACATGGATCTTTTTAACATTTGTATTTTATTGTGTTTTACTAATCTAGGTGAAATATTAATATATATTGCTAGTCCATGTACAATATGCCATACGCTACATAAATAAATCCAGTTTACTGATTTGAAAATTATACTGAGGGAAAAGCAACCTCTAGGTTTCAGACCTCTCAATATTCTTTGTTTTTTATCATATTGGGTTTGCCTTTCAACAAAGGAATGATCATGTTCAGAGAACATAAAGCTGCTGTGAAAAACTGATCATCTGACCTGACACTTACTGTAATAAATATGGAGAGACAAAGCAGGACTATGAGGCTATGGTTAAGAAGATGTTGTAAGGAGAGGCTTTTATAAACACAAAGCAACAGGCTAGAATGAAGAAATGATGGACTATGATTGCTATTCCAGCATAGCTAAACTAGGAGACGGGGATTCAAAAGCAACTTGCATCCTGCTGGCGTTTTGTAAGATGTCAGGAAAAAGAAGCACAAAATAGTTATTTTTGAAACATGGGTTTTAAATTTTATTGTAAAATTCTAATGTATACAATTAATACTTTTAATACATTTTTATTGCAAAGTTCAATAGATATATGTTGAATTTAACAGATGGAAGTAACTGGTACATTTATTTCTTATTAAACTCTAACCCCAATTAAAACATTAGTTTTATTCATGGTGAAGATTACATAAATTAACATACCATTTTAGGAGGTTACAGTATCAAAGAGTTTGAAAATTCCTGTATAACGGGACCAATTAGCCATAATTATGTTTATTCACAAAACTAGATGGATTTCATTGTGATATGATTGATAGAGATAAAAAATATTGACAATGTGTAATTTCATGCTTGTATTGGCAGTGCCACAAGTAGTACCAGCCTGAAAGGAGAGCTTACCAGTAAAAAATTGCCTTATGATCACCAAACTATGGAATTAACCCATCATTCCTCAGGACCACTATCTTCAGGTTCTTCTCGTACATCCGCATCTTCTAAAAGAAGAGGAAGAAAAGAAAGTAAGAGCTTTTCAACTGCTTGTTTATTACAAAGATAAGTTTGCTGCCCAGTTCACCAGTTCATCACAATATACATGCATCAAAAATACTTTCAGGCCAGTACCAATTACAAAGATTAATTTAAGTAAAATAGTAAGAAACCCTTAATTAGGTAATTTTATTATTTGGTTAAGAATCCTACCACATTTTATCTCAGAATAAAATTTTATCTCAAAATAAAATTGAGAGGTGATGGTGATTACTAAAATCGTCATAAGCAATCAGAGGTTGGGTAAAATATATTGTTAAATTTTACTTTTTTGTTTGTTGTTGCATGAAGAGTTTTACTATGACTTGAACCATAATCTGGTACAAATACAGGTAGGCCCTCAGCATAGGACAATTTGTTCCGCAATCTTTCAAAGTTATCATGATGCTGAACAAAGAGTCATATGATCCATGCCCAAAGCTATGGCTGTTGTAGCAGCCACATGATCAAAACGCAGGCACGTGACAGCTCACTTGTACTTAACAACTGCAAGGGTGTGGCAATTCCTCCCACTCACCTCTCTCCACCCACTTGGCCTTTTTTGCCTCCCTGCTACCCTGCACTTTACAGCCCCAACTGACCTTTTCTGCCATCTTCTTGCTTATGCTTCTAATGAAATATGTCTGGTCTAGTTTCCAGGCCATATGAGTCTGGCTTTGTGCTGCAAAAAAAAAAAGGGGGGGGGGGAAGCATATAACAGCCCCTCTTTGAGGCAGAGTGCATCAAAGCATTCCTTTGTGCCATCTTCCTGCACCTGATGGGGCTGGCTTTGTGATGCAAAAAAAAAAAAGCAAGCCAGCCGATACGGCCCAGGAGCATGGTGCAAAAGGATATTTTGGTATGCTCTGGCTCCTTCAGGCTGCTTTGTGCTTTTTTCCCTATTGCACAAATCAACCTCATATGGTGCAACAGCTAGGCTGGGCACACCTCACCCTCAGCAAGAGCAAGAAGATGGCAGCAGAGCACAAGGCAGCAAGGGTCTTGGCGTGCAGGGTAGCAAGAGCAACTGGGTCTGTTAAGGTTGCAGCTTCCTAGGGCATGGCAAGAAGCCCCAGAGCCACATAGTCCTGGGGCTGTTGGGCACTCCTCAAACGGGTGCAGGAGTGCCAAAACTGCAAAGATTGGGGAAAGTAGATGGGAGGAGTCCCTTACCTTACTGAGGCTCAGGGTTGGGGGGGATCAAGCTCAGAATAGCTTGAATTTGGGTGGATTTTTGGCTAATGACTGGTAGAATTTGCTTAATGATGGCCACAGGGATTACTGGGATTGTGGCCACTAAGCAATGTGATTTCAAATTGGCTTGCTTTACAATTACATTGCTTAGCAACTAAAATTTCAGTCTCAATTGCGGTCGTAAGTCAAAGACTACCTGTAAATACAGATAGTGGCATTATTTCTTTCAGACTTCCTCTTTCTTGCCAAATATTGTTGTTTCTCCCTAGCAATTATTCAAATCTAATCTCTTCGTCTCTCTGCTTAGTTTTTATTCTTGCATGGCATAAAATAGGTTAAATGTAGAATGATTAGTTCAAAATAGTCAAGGAAATTTTATGAATGGGATTTAATGGGAGAATGGCATAACTCTCAGATACTGATATGTACTGCACCACCTTAGTTCTGGTTTAAAATCTTATGATGTTTAATCTAAAAACATTCACTGAGTTTATCAGTTGGTGGGGGAATTCTTATTTTTTGTATTTATTTTTAAACATGGTTTTCTAAAATATGTTACAGAGACAGAATCATTAAATGGATTTCCAAATGACTCTCTCTGGGAAAAAAGCAAAGCATCCTTAGGATCAGACTATGGTTTGGAACAAGCAAAACACTTACTATCTAGTAACGCAGTGTCTAACAGAGAACAAGAAGTGAACCCAGATTCTGACAGTACTGCAGAGGAACTATCTGGTCACTCATTAAGGAGGTAAAATCCTATTGCCAACTCTGATTTTAAACTCTATAGCATAGTTTATAATTCAGGTAAAATATTGTAGTAGTACAACAGCATATTACTGTTATATTGGTATATTTTATTTATATATAAAGTAGGAACCAGTGTTCTTGGAACATAACACATAATTTACATTTCCTTTTCTTTTGTCAGTTTTCAAAATGGTCACATAAGTTTAATGTGGATTAAGGGGCCGTGCTCTGAGTGTATAATTCTGCATTTACTTGGTTGATTGATCAGTATTTACTCCCTTCTAATTAAAAACACTTTTGCAGTGTACAACATCCATCAATACAAATGATAAAACATCCACTGTAGATATCATAAAATAATATAAGAAACCTAACATAACCAATCCTTCAAAGATAATGTCAGCTCACACATCAAAGACTTTATGAAAATGATTCATTTTTAATAACTTACAAAAATACAAGAGGATTTTCAAAGTTTTTATTCTTTTTAGTATAAAAACATGTTGATTGTAGAGCTGGAAACAACAGTCAAATGTATTTGAAATATGTTTTCTCATTATGTCCCAGTGTATGAAAATATATCCTACTGATGAAAAGGCACAAATTAAGTTTGTAATGTTTAATATCACTAGTTCTTCTTTAAATAGAAAATACTTTTAAGCTATAATTTTAAACTGCTGCTTTATGTTTTTGAGGGTAAATAGTTTTTCTAAATAATTTTTGTTTGTTTAGTCTCCCAGATAAAGTTAGATCACCAAGAACAATAAGCTCTCCTCAGTCTCCAAACATACAGAAAAAAATGGATCCTGTAGGAAATACAGCAGAAAAACTTAGATCTTTAAATTCTTCTAGAAACGTAGCTTCTGGATCTAAGCTAAATCCTGACTTCTCTGACTTAAGTATTGGAAACAACAGGACTGGAGCCAATATTCTGAATGGTGAGCTGGCAAAGAATGGAAAAATTATGCTATATTTGATATATTTTGTGGTGATTTGAGCATATACATGTCGTTGTTTCCTAAGTTGTGTACTGATTTTACAGGTTCCATGCGCTTCTCACCTGCTGGTCTCCAGCATCGTATGTCTGCAGAACTTAACTACCTAAGCACTATTGAAGAGTCGGTACACCAACTCTCTGATATAGAACGTGTGCGAGGGATATCACTTGCACAACAGGAAAGTGTTTCTCTGGCTCTAATATTAAAGGTAAGATTAGTGAATCTGAAATCCCTTAAAATATTTAGTATGTATTTTCAGTTTTTTATCTCTTGGGAACTTCAGTTCTCAGACTTTTCACTCTATGTAAGAAAAGTTTCTATTAATAACTGTAAAAGTAACCATTATTATTTTTTCCTTCTATTGGTTTTGGCCCTCACTCTAAAGTATCTCTGTAGAGGATTAGAAGAGTTACAGTAGGGCTGGGAGAGTACCCAAGGTAGACATTCTGTAAAGCAACAAAAATTCTGTGATCTTTATTCCAGTAATTGTGTATTTTTGAAATCTAATTTTCCTTTTAAAAAAGGTTATAGTTACAATTTTCAGTCATGCCTGGCATTCTAATTTAAAAGATATGTTAATTATATTTTCTGTTTTATCCTTGAGGACCAGGGATTGTTGTATACTGTGATTTTTGTATTTTAATACTTGTACAACCATCCAGAGTTACTATTGTGAGATGGGCAGCTATATAAATCCAATTAATTACATAGATTATTCATTATGAAATTGGTACTAAAATGTATTAAAGTAGGAGCAGATGCTGAAATATTAAAGCAAATTATTTTATAATTATTTCATTGTATTTTATAATTATAATTAAATATCTGCTATATTTCAGCTACTAAATTAAAACCATTTAGAATTAAGTTAATGAGCCATTACTGTTTTTAAATAATGGAAAATTGTACAACCCTTTTGCATAATTCTATAAAAAGGAAGAATGTAAGTGAATAAATAATAAGTAAATTTTCACCTGTAGTCCCAGCAGCAGAGACATGAGAGGGACTTGGCTCTTCTAACGCTCAAGGCAGAGCAAGAAATGTTGGAAAATCAAAGGAATCTGGAAGAGGCAAAACAAAAAGCAGCTCAGGTAATGAAGCATTTTAAACAGCTTGAAAAAACAAAACAAAAATAGAAACCTTTTCCACAGAGAAATGGCTGGTGATAGCAATGGATGGTAGTTCAAAATGATAGGCAGTATATTGATATATTGAAACATTGTGTTAGTGATGCGAGACATTAGTGATTAGCAAAAGCATTTCTTCACAAAGTGGTGTATTTTGCCAGTATTTCTCTAAATTATTAGAACTTCCCTTGTTCAAGAATCAGGGTTGCAGCATGATGGTTTTATTTGTTTTTGAACCACTTACAGCTTAGAACCAACATACTTAAAGAACATTCATATACTTCATTTATAGAACTGTGATTTAAAATTACATTTCCTATCAGTAACATGAAATAAGTTTTGTTATTAAGGAAAGAATCCCTCCCCTAAGTCAATTAGGATGAATTTCATGTTCATGTTAAGGTCAAAGCACAGCTACACTTTTAATAAAAGTAAATAGATTTCAAAACCAAACTTGTATCACCATGTATAGGCCCATGCAGAATCATTACATCAGTTGGCACAATCACATCAGGAGGCAGCTGAGACTCTACAGGACACCACATCTAAGATTGCAACTCATCAGCTGGAGACAGCCCTGTTGACTGCAGATACTGCTCGTCAGATACGTGAAGTGAGTTATTTTCTGTTGCTTCTTAGCGCATAAGAAGTTCATTGATACATTTGAAAAATGTATTTTGCTCTGCTTTTTATTAGATGACAGAACGTGCACGTTTCCAGATCTCTGATGCAGTTGGTACTACTGCAGCTCCAGTTACCACATTATTTGACCAAGAATGGAAGCACGGTTCAGCTTCCTCAAAGCAATTAAAACTTCACAATATGAACAGGTATTTTATGTAGAAATTTAATTTGAGGCTGTAATATTTTTAATGAAGGTACTTCAATAAGGAAAACGTGTCAAAGCATCTGTAAATAGTAGATTTCCCTGATAATTCCATTGATTTGTTTATTATAGGTCTGTAGGAAAATGTCAGTCATAGAAAGTTGCCACTTCACTATGTAATTTTGTTTTCATAAATTTGCCTCAGGTGTGTAGGGAAGGGATAACTACAGATGAAGCATTGTCAATATGTAGATGGTGCTAAAGTACAGTTTGATTTATAGGAGCATACTTGCCCCCCCCCCTCCTCCCTCCAAATGCTGGTTTTGAAAGAAAAAGCCTTTTAGTTTTTCCAACCAAGTTAGATCTGTTTCACAGCGCTCTGGCATAAAACTTCCTTCTCCTATCAAGTACCTCACCTGTTGTGAGAAAATAGTAGCACAGAACGATGCGCTTAGAGCTTTGCTAATTTAGGAATCCTCCTCCCTCGTTTTTCTATACTTGCTAGAAAGAGGAACAATAAAAGCTTATTCTAGTACAGATATACTGTGTTGGAAATTACCAGGGGTAGGATTCAATTTTTTTAACAACCGGTTCTGTGGGTGCGGCTTAGTTGGTGGGCGTGGCTTGCTGGTCATGTGACTGGGTGGGTGTGGCCATCTCGACGTCACTCACATGAAGGGGTGCTTCTCCTCGCCTGGCCTCTCATGAAGTGGGGATGCTGCAATGGTTGTAAGTGTGAAAAATGGTCATAAGTCACTTTTTTCAGTGAAATTGTAACTTTGAATGGTCACCAGTTTCAGACCAAAACTCAAAAATAGTATGTAAACTCACGTTTGAATGTCAATCTTTCTAGCTAGCCAAGAAGCCTTGCTGAATGTCACTCATCTTGGTTCCTTGTCATTAAAAGCTTTTTTCTGGCAGCTCTGCTTCATTATTCAATTATTTCTTCAAAGTGCTAACTCCAATGGGAGTATTTCCTCCCAACAGCAGTGTAAAAAGGTTAAAACAACCTTTCCCCTTTAAGAAAGTACCAGCAAAGGAAAAAAACCTCCTTCTGAGACATTAAGTCTAGGCATACTGCCAAGAATGTAACAAGGGTGAAAAAAACCAAAAGGAGATTTATTCCAACAACCGGTTCTCCTAACTGCTTAGAAAGTTAACAACCGGTTCTAGCGAATAGGTGAAAACCTATAGAATCCCACCCCTGGAAATTACCATTTATTTAACTTTAATATATTGCATTTGTATTCAGTTATTTCTCAGGCAACTGTAAATGTTGCTGTGATTTTTAAAACAATTCAAACTCTCCTGTTTCCTTTAATAGAAAAGCAGATTCAATCAGCACACCATCAAGTAGGGAGGAGACAAATGACTCAAAGCATCATAGTTTGCATGCATTTGATAGCTATTCAGAATCATCAAGATCAAAGGCACATGATCAGAGGTGAGACACAAGATTTATAATCACTATATATCAAGTATAAATTCAACCAAGAAGGTTTGGTTTAATTCAGGAAATGATGGCTAGGTTGAGGTTTTCTTTCTCTCAAATAGTATTATCAGTCACCTATATCTCTTTTTGTGAATCCAAACTAGCTCAAAGTATTCTTAAGCCAATTGTTATATTTATAAATAATAACCCTAACAATTCATTAAATTTATGGGGCTGTCAAATCAAAAGAGTTTGAGGCAGTATACAGAGTTTAAAAATAATATGTAAATAGAAATACTAGCTAATTGGGGGAATATGTTTCTGAAAAATAGTATGCAGAAATTTTTGAGGACCTTTTTCCTGGGACCCGCCAAATAAAATTCCGTAGCAGTTGGGCTTCTGCGCCAGATCTTATGGGATAGGCAGATGTAATTGTGAAGAGGTTTCCTCTCAGATAACTTGGTCCCATGCCATGAAGGGCTTTAAAGGTAAAAAGCAGTACCTTGAATTGGAGCCAGAAACAAACTGGTAACCAATGCAGCTTGTGGAGCACAGATGTAATGTGTTCCACTCTAGGGGCATGCACACAACTGCCCATGCTGTTGCATTCTTCATTAGTTGAATTTTCCAGATAGTTTTCAAGGACAACATCCCCATATAGAATACATTGCAGAAACCCAAAGGAGAGGTGACTAGCACATGAGGGACTATGAACAGAGCAATTGCATGAAGCTGTGTAAATTCATTCCGTGCATTACATCAGTATTAATTCAGGACTCCTATATGCCTTTTTATAATGCAGTAGTAGCAGCAGTCGGCAGGAAAGTCCATCTTCTAAGGAAACCAAGAAACTTTCTCATCGTGAAAAGCCAAGCAGTTCCATTGAGGAGGAAGCTCCCACAGCAATCAATGATTCACTGCAGAATATCAGTATCCCATCTATTCATGACGAGAGAGGTTAGTTTTCAGATCAATATTTAACCAAAGCAATGCTCATTCAATTTTTGCTTCATAGTTGTGTTCTTTCCACTGCTATGTCAATGATTTTGCTCAAGGGTCTTCAAACTTTGCAAGCTTAAGACTTGTGGACTTCAACTCCCAGAATTCCAGAGCTAACATGACTGGGGGAAGAATTATGGGAGTTGAAGTCCATACGTCTTAAAGCTGTCAAGTTTGAAGACCCCTGGTTTTGCTGATGAGTTACATGGTAATAATATAAAAATAATTCCCTACCCATTTCCTACCCATCACCATCCTGATTTCTTTGTATGTTTGTTTTTGAGTAACCATCTGTTGGACTCTGCAGAACTTGCAGTCTGACAGTATCATTTCCAAACTGTCCCTGGCTTGCTGTTGCTTTCATCCTCCTTATTCTTAGCACTACTGGCTGAATAACTGTCCCCCTTCTTGTGCTAGTTATCATTTTTAAGAAAAAAGAAAGGTAAATTTAATCTCTACAAGCATACATGCATGTGTGAATGCTGTGAAACAAATGTTCAGAATTCGTTTGGTTGCTTTCTCTGGTATTTCCAAGAAATGGGATTCTTGGAAATGAGGTGGGGGTGGGAAAGATGTATATTACAACCAGTGTACTTAGTTTTCAGTAGATTCCAGTAAGAGCTATTATTGAGGAATAGTAAAGTTATTTTCTTACCCCAAGGCATACAAGCTGAAAAAGGGCAAAGTTAATTCATAGCCTGATTTTTTTTTCCTGCCTTCCTTTCTAAGAAGAAAAAGTATTTTGGAAAGAGGTTTCCTAACTTTGAATGTTCTGACACCTTTTGGCAGGACATTTATTTATATATTTATGTACTAGAATTGAATGCATCCTTTAGGAGAAAATGATTCAGCACAATGTCTTTTTAAGAAACTATAGTTTTTTTCTGATTGGTTCAGCTGCTTTGAAAGTTGTTCAATATCTTCAAAGGCTTCTGTAGATACAAGCAAGATAAATGGTAGTAGCCGCTAGAGAGCCAAGAAACATTGCAGCAGCTTTAATGGTTTGAAAAGAGTTACTATGGGTTGGGGTTATGGTTGGGTTACAACCACTTGTTCAGTGATCATTCATAGTTATGAGGATGCTGAAGAAGAGGGACTTAGAATTGATCCTTGGAGTTCCAGCCTTTGCAATGTGCTCACAACCATGTTGTTGCAATCCGGGTTCTTGGGTGGGTGGCTTGCGATTACAATGTTTCTGCAAAGTGTGATCAATATGCAAAGTCAGTGGGAAAGCCAGCAGAAAGTTTTCTTTTTTAAAAAACTAGTTTTATTCATAGCAGAAAGTTTTCAAGTTGCTCCTAAAAGTTGTTGCCCCCACTTTTTTCTAAAGTGCCCCACTACAGAGTACGAGAGCCCCTGCTGTCCTACCTGCCCATACTCAGTAGTGCCCATTTATAGTCCAATAACACCAATAGCACCCACCCACAGCACCCCGCACCTTCTAACAGCTCTCATCTCCTCAGCTTGCTTGCCTAGGACATCTGCGGTCCTCTCTTAACAACCTAGGTGATCTCTGGGTTACAAGAACCAGGTCTGCTGGTTTGTTGTTGCTAAGCAATGAGGTTAGGTGATATCACGCTTTACAACCCACATCGCTTGCGAATGGAGCATCTCATTCCAGTTAAGTTTGTACTTCAAGGGCTTCCTTGAATCTTCCCAAAACATGTCTCTCAAAGAGTTTACACAGCTCTATTACGTAATAGTTCATAGTCTGTGTATATGTTTATTGTTTTCTTAATAAGGTCAGGAATTTTGATAGTTAGGCACATCTATATTTCTGTCCATTCAGTCAGTATTTACTCATTCTATTTTTGCAACATAATTTTATTTTGTAGCATGTTTTGTTCTGTAATGAATTCCTTATTTTTTCCCCTTATATTGTATCTGTTCAGATTCCACTTCTGTTGCCACAGAATATTCCCTAAAATTTGATGAGTCTATGACAGAAGATGAGATTGAAGAACAATCATTCCGGTCTTTGTTGCCTTCTGAGAGCCACCGTCGGATCAATCTGAAGAAACGAAATCACCAAATTTATTCTGATGAGGAGGCTTCTCCTGGAAAGCCTGCCCTGTCACCTATTAAGGCAAGATTTCAATAGGCTGGAGCTATTCATTTTTTGGAATCTTAAAAATTTTAATAGGCCTGTTTTTCATTTGCCAATTGTTTGTGTGGGAATTTATTAATGCGTGTTTTAGTTGTTTTAGCTGTTTTAAATTTGTTACAAATTATATAGTATAAACCTCCAAGTTCCCTTCCAACTGTGTTATTCTATTCTTCCCATAAGTCTTTTCATGGAGAATAAATATAATGATCTTGAATGCAGAGGGAATAGTTCAATAAATAATAGGCATAATTAATGAAGATTGTTTTAAAAAATGAGTATCTATCAGTGAGGTGGATTTATATAGAGATTTCTGGAAGTTTGATCTATGAATGGCTGCCAATAGTAATAGCTGTATTAAAACCTAATTTAGATGCATCATTTTGCCAAATATAATTTGCTGAATTAATAATTTTAGTAAGACATTTTATAAAGACAGAATTACAGGAGACCAGTTTCTGCTCATTGCCTTCCCAGAAAGCCTGTATCAGATTTTATTGTAAATATGCAACACATATGAATTAATAGTGGGATTCTTCCCAGGTGCACTGGGAAAGATAATAGATACTGGAATGAATACCTGTGCACCTAGAAAATCATGTTTCCCTGTCCTCTTCCACCTCAACTGCAACTTTGTTAATGCTCTTGTCTGTTATTCTGTTGCTGCTTGTCTCAAGTTACCGATTTTCATAGTCTCACATATAAATTTATTAAATGAATAAATGAACATACCTTATACATAAAATATTCATTTATCTGCACTGTAGAAAACAGTATTTCTTTATAACAACAGTGGAAATCTGGTAACGATTAGTATAAAAGTACATCAACAGTTTGGAACCTCAACAGTTTGCCCCAGTAAAGAGATTGTGAATTATAGGAAAACCATTTTTTATTTAATTTTTTTATCAGGAGCTGAACCTGCCATTTTCAGCAGGGCAAGACAGTTTTTCTAAATTTACAATGGAAATGGTACGGCAGTACATGAGAGAAGAAGAAATGAGAGCTGCCCACCAATCTTCGCTGCTCCGATTACGTGAAAAGGCACTTAAAGAGAAGACTAAGGCTGAACTAGCTTGGCTAGAACACCAGAAACGGTAAAGCTGGAAACCCCACAATGTATAACATAGCCAAGAGTTTTGCCCATTCTAAGGATTTTAGGCTTTTTTGATTTATATTAAATTCTTATTACAAATGTTTCATGAATGCCATGAAAGAGGTAGCAAGCAAAGGAGAGTTCTTTGTAATTTTAATATGATCATGATGTCTTTAATTTTGTTTGGTTTGTACTCCTACCCATCCCCATCTTTGTATTTATGACTTTATACATTACATCATAATGAGGTTATTTTCTCAAATGAAATCTTTTTTAAAAAGATCATTCAAATGCACTTTTGCTTCTTCAATTACTTATACTTTTCCTATAATATATGAAGCAAACATAATGTTAAAAAGTTACGATATTTATGTAATTACTTACCAAGCACATCTAACCAAAATATTTTTACAATCCCCAAGTCATGTCACAACTTTTGAGCACCCCTAATGTTTAGAAATTGAAAGTATTTGGCATGCCCTAAAAATAGTATCATATATTTAATTATCTCACCCACTTCACATCTGTTTTTTAAACAAATGTTGAATGGCTTCCAAATTTCCTTATGCATTTGCTGACATGGAGATAAAACTCCTGTGTTTTATCAATAGCGTAAAACTATAACGAAAAGCAAAAGGTCCAAAAAAATGAGGGCAAATAATTCAATACAGAAATGGAAGAAATTTTTTTGCTACTTATTTTTAGACATTTACGAGATAAAGGAGAAGATGATAAAATGCCACCTATCCGGAAAAAACAACGTGGCCTGCTTCTTAAACTTCAGCAAGAGAAGGTAAACACTACTTTTACGTTTAATGCTTTGAACCAGCAGTTACCAACCAGTGGGCCGCGGCCCACTGGTGGGCTGTGAGAAAATTCTGGTGGGCTGCAGAGAAATCTCACCCCCAGAGCATCCCCCGAAAGCAATTAACCCAGGCTGCGCAGAAACACAAGGCTGCGCCGCCCACATGGCCCGCAGGAATCCTCCCCGCCCACTCACTCCTTACCCAGCAAACTTGCCTGCTAAAATTTTCCTTTTTCCGACCATCATCTGTTCTGCTGTGCCGGGAAATATAGATTAGCTAGGAAGCAGGAAGTGGTTGGATTTCTTGCTTTCTAGCTAGTCTTTAGATCTTTGGCTCTGCTTTTAAGTACAGCCGAACTTCCCTTAGGACTGAAGGTTTGCTTGCAAGCAAATTCAGTGCAGACTCACGGCAAGCAAATTTGAGAGACTGAGCTAGCCGATGGCAGATAGATAGATCACTGAATGATTCTGTGAGCAACTCAGTCTGCCTGCATTGCCTGATTTTGGGTAAAAGTTGCTCTTTTTTAAAATAAAAAAATCAATATTTACATGCATTGTGTGTTGTGAGTTAATTTTTTGAGTTTGCTTGCTAGCAAATTTTATGAGTTTGCTTGCAAGCAAATTTTATGTGACAGACTGATCTAGCCAATGGCAGATAGATCTCTGAATGAATCTGTGATTCTGTGAGCAACTCAATCTGCCTGCTTGCTTTGCCTGATTTTGGGTAAAAGTTGCTCTTTTTTATAAAAAATTCAATATTTATATAAATATTTATAATATTTACATACAAGCCATGCCCAGCCAGTCAGATGACCACCAAACCACACCCACAAATTAGGCCATGCCCACAGAACCAGTTAGTGGTCCCTGGGATCTAAAATTATGCGTTTGGTGGTCCCTGAGGTCCAAAAGGTTGGCAACCCCTGCTTTGAACTGCCTCATAGGTGGGAGTACCTGGACAGTCTTGCTATTCTCAGAAGGTAAATGGGACTGGCCATTGTTAGAACTTGGACAGAGGATCTCCCAAGAATTCCAGAGATGTAGACTAGATTGGATAGGAAACAAATCCCCTCAAAGCACTTTTTTCCACCTTGTCAAGAAATTAGAATAGATGCTCTCACCAAGAGCTGGAGTTCACATGATTGTATTTTTACTTTGAGGTAGTTCTGACTCAGTTAATTCTTAAACAGGTTGTTAATTGGGTATGCAAATATTCTGAAAGTCATAATATTTAAAGTCATAATTAGTGCAACTATCAGTACAAATAACGGGTTTATTAAGATTTACAATAGATTTATTGGGGGGGTGTTGACCTAATGTTGATCCAAAATACTACCTTATCTTGTGTTTTATTTAGTGTATCGACATATATAACAATGATTGCCAAGAGGCTGGTTCTGGGATACTTGGAGTAACTTGTAATAGTTTGTACTAATGTCATATGTATTTATTTAAATAAATATTAATGTCAGTAGACCTTAATTAATAATTTGAATTGACATTTATGTGAATACATAACATATTTTCTCTTAATTAAATTTACTATGTAGGATGATATACAGTACTGGCTGTAGGGCATTTATTATAAAATAAATAGTGAGAAAATGTCAATTTTGATCCATAAAGTGCCAATTTTGATAGAATAATTCAGCACGTATTATTCTAAAAGTGAAGGCTATGTACTGTGGCAACCCAAAATTAAATTATTATATGAACTGTAAATTATTATATGAACAACCATATGAAATCACAGCTGCCCATTCTTTAGCTAGTATTGACCTTCATGTTCATTGAATTCTTCCCAAGAACCTAGGATATCATAATATATCAAAGTACAGTATGTGCAGATTCAACTAGTGTGGCCTTTTGTAACTGTAGTTGGAAATGTTGTCAATATACCTCCAAGATTTTTTGCTTTGGCACCCAACATGTTAATAACCATTGGGACCATCAGGGCTGGTTTTTTCCATAATCTTTCAACTACAGTTTTTGGATTTGGATGCTTTATGATCTTCTCCAGTTCTTTGTCTTCTGTTTCCCCTAATATTGCCACATCAGTTGTCCATATTTTATTCTTTTCAACCACAGTTAAATTTATGTGTTATGTGCCTTTGGACTTTATTCATTTATATTTGGAAATCCCACAATATTTTAACCTACTCATTTTTTACTACTATTTTCAGCTATATATTCCAATCAGTTTTTCATTTTTACAGATGTTCCAGTGAATCATTTTGGTGACTGTGTTATGTCATTGTTTATAATTAGTTTATGTGATCTTCTTACACATAAACTGAGTATATGATCTACATTTTTAACAGAATAACAAGGTTGGAAGGGACTTTAGAGTTCTTCTAGCCCTGCTTGGGAAGGAAATCCTATACCATTACAGACAATTATTTTCTGTCTCTTTGCACAATTTGCACTTTGAATCATTTGATCATTTTTCAGTTCTACCTTTGATTGCATTAGCTTGCTCTTGAGCAGCCAAAATCAAGAGTTCAGTTCTGTTTTTTTAATGTTCCAGTTATAAGCCTTTGCCAGGTTTTATCTTTATCTACTTTGCCCTCAAGTCTTTGTAGAAATTAAGCATGTAATTAAGCATTAAGCTTTTCCTTGCCAGCATTCAGAATGTATATAATTGCATTATTTCAACAGTCACATTTTGTTTCTGTAAGTTTTTTACTTGCATCAATCCTTGTTCTGGGCTGTGTTTTACTTAATCAGCCAATGCAAGCTTTTTTTTCTTTGACAGTATATTTGACTTGAAATGAACCTCTGCCTCCACTTCTACAAGGCAGATATAATCTATCAATATCACTAGAGGAATGTCATGCATAGTGAATAGTCACATGGTGTTTTTTTCCTCAATCCAAACTCTCCAGATGAGCTTATATCCAGTTAATAACTCCAACAGTTATTAATGTGCAGATATTGATGGCTTTGATGGTGTTTCAACTGTTTAATTGTGTCTGGCAATTTTCTCACTCTTTGGACGTATTCTTTACTAATTGCATTTTTAACTTACCCATACTTCAAGTTATCCAACTATAAAATGCCCAGATACTTGTAGGCTGCTTATATTTCTATTATGTTTAGTTTCATAATCAGCCTGATGTTTAGATTGGCTTTGGCATTTTGATTCACTTGCTGAGTCCTTTCCAAGGACCCTGGGTTAGAGAGATTTTGTTCTTTGATGGTGTTAAAAGTATGGTCGCAAGATATAAGCTTTTTGCAATTGACTGATGGTGATGTTATCAATGCTGATGGTGTTCAAATTGTGCTCCAGATGTCCCGGGATTGCACCCAAGGCACCTATTGCTACTATCTTTGCTTTCCATTGCCACAGTTGTTCTACTTCTATTTTCAGGTGTTTATACTTTGTGATTTTCTCCAGGTCTTTCTCTTCTATTCTGCTGTCTCCAAGTACTCATTGTCCACTATCCAGACTTTTTTTTTTGGTCTTGTCTTATTGAAATTGTTACGTCTGGGTGTTATGTGGCAGGTGCTTGTCTGTTTGAAGTCTGAAATCCCAGAGTACTTTAACTTCTTCATTTTCTTTTACTTGGTCTATTTTGTGGCCCCACTAGTCCTTGCTTGTAGGCAAACTGTATTTCTTGCAGCTATTTCAGTGCATCTTCCATTCTTGCTGCTTCGTCATGCTATTGTTGGTAGTCAGTCTCTATGATCTTCTTGCAGTAGTTAACTAGTGCTGAGAAGCAGGAAGCAGAGCACAGGGCGCCTCAGGGTGGGGAGGCTGCAACATGCACTTCATTTCTACCCATGCTCCTATCTCTCCATCTCTCTCTCCTTTCCTTTTGGCTGCCTTGCACTTCAGTACATACACCTGCTATCCCCAGCTGATTTTTGCCATCTTCCTCCTGCTGCTGATGAAATGCACCCAGACTGAGGCCCCTGCTCATTTTTCATGCACGTCCTTCATGTAAGTGGTTGCAGAGTGCAAGAAAGACCAGAAAGGCAGAGATGGGAGAGAGATAGGTGGGAATTGAAGTCGAGGTGTGCAAGAGAAGTATGAGGTACTAACCTCATGACTGTGTAGTCCTGATCACAACCAGAACTATTGATACTGCCATTCCTAAGTGATGCAGAAAGATGATCTTCCACCTAATGACGGCTTTGCTTAACAATGGAAATTCCCAGTTAGAGTCATTTGTGGCTAGTCACCTGTCCAAGAATATTAGCGCAAAGGTAGGGAACATTTCAGTCTTTGTGCCAAATCATACATTTACACCCACAAAACAGGACAAATTATTTTATAGAAAGCAAACAGATAATACTCAGATACAGAAAAAATATAGGGAATACTATTTCCCACCCCAACTCTAATCATAGCTACCACAGGGATGTGAAGGAAAGTTCTTAATTAACCTTTTAAAAAAAAGCCATACAGGAAAATTGCCCTTTGCAAGGGAATTTCCTGAAGCAAACTGCTACTACTATTTGGTGGCAAACAGGCTTCAGTAGATGTTGTGCCTGCTCACAAGCTTTGGATCTGAAGTAACCAAACAAGGAAATTGAAGATCAGAGATTAAAGAAAATTGAAAGCTGAGGATTCTGAATTTTAATTTTAAGAAATTTATTAATGAATTTCTATTGCTATAACGTGTCATAGGAAAACAGTTTTAAAAATAACATCAGCAAAGATAGTGATACACAGAATTCAGAAAAAAGAATAAAGAGGGAGAAAACAAATTCATAGTAAGTTCTAAATAGTGTGTAAGAGAAATTGGTATGGGAAAGACGAGAGAATATTTTCATTTTTAGAAAGAAGATTACAGATAGAAGTAAAAACAAAATTAATAAAATGACAGTATATAAAGTAGAAGGAGAGAGTGGAGAGTTCTTTGGGGATTTGGATAAACTTCTAATAAACTTTGGATAAAAGCAACAAGCAGAAAATTGTAAAGTGTGGCACAGCATAGAATAAAAATGAAAAACTAAGGATATTTAACAGGTAAACTGGTGAGGAAATAACAGCTCATTTTTTTGTTATTGTTTTATCCTGTTACCCATAAAGGCAGAAATTAAGCGCCTTCAGGAAGCTAATAAGGCAGCACGGAAAGAAAGGCAACTTATTCTTAAACAGCAGGAAGAAATTGAACGGATACGCCAAACCACTATGAAATTACAGGAAAAACTCAAGTCTGCAGGAGAAAACAAGGTGATAAGTTAGAATGCAATTAATATGCTTATTTTATTCATCCAGTTGACATTGTCAAATGAAACAACATTTCATTTGAAGAATAAAATTTGTGACATTCTTAAGATACAAAGAATAAATGAACTTCATTTTTCTTAATGTAGCAATTGTAGCTGTAATAATCTTAGATTTGGGGATAATCTTAATGTTGGTTGTAATTGTGCGTATAATTGATACAAGAAACCTAATTATGAAAGTGATATGACATCATCATTTTCAATCTACATATGTATTTTGGTTACCAGCAAATTTTATTTTTTTAAAAGCTATTCCCTTCTAAGATTTTAGAAGTTAAAATTTCTATTTTTCAAAAAATAAAATATAAAATATAGGTGGTCATTTATTAAGGGCCATTTATTCAATGACTGTTCAAACTTGCAGTACTGCTGAAAGTGTGGTACTTAGGACTGATGTTTGACGTTCCACCTGTCACAGTGTCTCTGCCATCACATGACTGCAATGAGCAACTGGCCCAGATTGCCGACCATTGCATGCTCATATTATTGTGACATTTACTGCTAGCTTCCCCCTGCCAAAATTAGTGGGGAAGCTGGTAGGAAGACGGAGCTTTCAGTTATATGAGGTTCCCATTTAATGACCCACATAGTCATTATTTAACAATGATAAAAGATACTTCCAGAACTATTGTTGCTAAGGAGCATGATCATGTGACATTGTATGATCACATTGCCTGGCAATAAAAATTTCAGTCCCAATTACTGTGGTTAAATGAGGACTAATTATAAAGAAAATTTGAAAACAAAGTATATCAGACTTTGTTCCATGGAGTCTGCATTGAAAGTTAATCTTGGAAACAAGAATCAAAAACCTCTGGTTTAATAGTATTTACAAAAAGTTACAGTTCTCGGTTTCCTATCTTGATAACTCTCAACCTTTTTATTAGCATTAGAAATAACTCTTTTGCAGAAATCTGAAGAAAATTTACATTGCCTCATTTGAACATATGGCAAATATAAAACCTAGTACAGTGTTCATCTGACAAGTGATTTCTATTTGTTTCTTTGTTTTAGGAACACCGCAGTGAAGATGATAAAAAACAAACACATTGCTCAGGTCCTCAGCCAACTGACGCAGAGGCCTATAGCCCTTCCTCCATTTCCAGTTCTGAGACAAGTAGTATCATGCAGAAATTAAAGAAAATGCGGAGTCGAATGGATGAGAAGTAATTTGTATTTTTATTCCTAATAGAAATGGCTTCCAACAGCTATTGTGGAATTTCAGCTTAGTCTTAATGGTGGTTTGGTAGCTTGAATATATTAACAAATTGAATATCCAGACTGCCTTTCCATCATGAATAGGTGTGAAAAAGTAATGTTCCTGATACCTGAAATAATGTTTAACTGGTAATGGTAGAAAATGAACGTGGGGCTTTCTGCAGGCAAAGCATATGTACTATCATTGAATCTATGTATGTGCCCCTTCTTGTAATTGGTGCAGCAGCTAGACAGGAATTTTATATACACATTTTTATTACTTTAATGCAGAATGCTTGCCTTAATGTAATGTTTGTATATAGCTTTTTAAAAAGTTGCTTTTCTTTTTGAATTATCTTCAATCAAAATATATTCTTATGCCTGAAAATTTGACTTCATCAGGAGAAAAATGGATTCCTATTATAGAATATTGGACTTTGAAACTGTATATTGAGCTAAATTTTCCCAATTTTGGGGGGGAAATGGTTTTTGTAGTAATATGCATCTCTCCATAGTAAAAAATGCGCAACTAATATTTCCTTCACAACAAAAGAAAAATGTAGCACTGTGTGAGATAGCTATTAAATGTAATAGTGAAAGATTCAATCATAAAACACACAAAAAAATCATTTATTGCATGGTATTTTATAATACATATAGGACTTCCGTATATATTTCTGTGTTTCAATAGTAGAATTGAATTGTTATCAATTTTTCACAATCCTTCAAGAAACTATTCTGAAAATACGAAAATTCTATGACTTTCGTAATATCTTAAGAGCTTGGGACAGTCACAATTTAAGTATCTCAGTTTATAATAGAAGAAAAATAATATGGTGGTAAAAGTAATCTGTCTAGTTTTTAAGATTATGGAAGGACAGCATTTACCCTCTGCTTGTTAAAAGAAATGTATTGCCAGTATTTCAATTTAGTAAAGCTTTTGAACATGCATTTAGTGAGGATAGAGAGCAAGATACAGTTATAAATACTAAGTAATGCAGAATTAGGTAGGATATTATATTAGTTTGGGAAGAATATATAAAAAATAGCATAGCTTTTAAAAAATATTAAATGGTGAGGATGAATTAAATAATGATTCCTCCAATAAGATTTTGACTAATAGAGATTCTGGGGAGTACCATAATTGATCTTTGGATAATGAAGACAAAAAGGCTATTGAACAGTTTGCGTGTGAATAGGAGCATGCTGTGTCAAAGAATTAATATCTTTTGATATTAGTTTTGATCTTATCTTTGTAAATTCTTAACTGACTTTCGCTAGCAGAGGCTTCTGTGCTCTAAAAGCTTTTTTGGTTATTTTTTTTCCCTAAATTTTTGCTATTTTCTGGTTAGGCATTTAATAAAATGCTGTTTGCTACAAAGCAATATATGAAAATGGAAGCAAAATGACAGCCTATAAACTCAAGTTTACATAAAGATTTGAGCCTTTTTAAAACTAAGCAATCTTACGAGCTAAAACTGTTTTTGTTTGATTTTTGGATTTTGTTCGTTGAGCTTACAATAGTTGAACACAGGCTCATTCCAAAATTGGTAAAATGAGGACCCAGATTGTTGGAGGCAATATACTGACTCTGTAAACCACTTAGAGAGGGCTGTAAAAACACTGTGAAGCAGTATATAAGTCTAAGTGTTGCTGCTATTGGTATAAATACAATAAATACAACACAACATGAAATCTTGGCGTAATTAATTAAAATAGTGTAATAAGCTTTTTAAAATGCACTATTAAATAAATAATTGGAATCGCCCTTAAATGTAGTTCTTTAAGCAACTGGAGAAATTATCTATAGCATTATACCATAATAAAGTAGAGTTGATAGTATAAGAAACGGGAAGCAATTGGAATAAAGAATTTTAAGTGATGCTTATTTTCTGTTGCAGTTTGAAAGATTCTACTTGTTGATGGATGATGATGTTTGACACTTGAGATTCATTTAAAACTCTGCTAGACCTTTTCCTGCTCTTGCTTTCTGTCTGTTTCTGTTGCTATCGGCTTAAAACTCTTCCTCCTTATTTTGTAGACACTGCTCTCCTGTTCACTACTTCTTCTCTGTCTTTACGTCTCACCACTGGGCTTCTCTCAGTGTCTGTTTTCCCAACCTCCATCCCAAATTCCAGCTGTATATCTACAACCAATTGGTCAGGTAACTTTCTACCTTTTTCAATGGTAGATTCTTTGATTGAGCATGCCCTGTTCAATTTTAAATGATTAGGAGTTCTTTTAGAACTCTTTCTCCCCCTGTATAAAGTTAGGGATTTCTGCATAAATAGCTGACAATCTCTAAACAGTTAAATAGAGCAACAAAGATGATAATGGATTTGGAGGCTAAATCATCCAATGAACAGCTAGCTTAATTAAGAGAAGAATCAGGGGAGACATGATAGCAGTCTTCCAATACTTGAAGGGCTGTCACAGAGAATAGGGCATCAATTCATTATCCATAGTACCTGAGAGCAGGACAAGAAACAACGGGTGGGTGCTTGTCAGAGGGAGGCTCAACCTGGAAATAAGGAGGAAATTCTTGACAGTAACAATTTGCTCCCTGGAGTTGTAGGTGCTACATCATTGAAATTTTCAAGAAAAGTTTTAGACAACCATTTGTCCAGAATAGTATATAGATTCCTCCTGTCCTAGGCAGAGGGTTGAATGTGGAGACCTCCAAAGTTTCTTCCAGTCTTATGGTAGTGTGATTCTATGATCATGCACAAAACAGTTTTGGAAAAGTGAACTTTAGACAAAGGACTTGAAAATTAATTTGCCTTTTAGTGTCCTATTTGTTAGGAAAATCTGTTTTGATTGCTTTAACTACGTGCAGCACAAAATTATACAATTGCATCTTTCATCTCTTTTAAATTGGTTTTTTACAAATTGGCTTTGTACGAGGCCATAACAGTAGAAATTCCTCTTTCCCAAGAATTCAAATCCATAGAAATGAATTCAAGTCAGAATTCAGAATATTTTTTTTGTTGTTTTCAGTAATTGAGTAATAATTAATTCAGTAATAACTTGGAGTGTTTTCATGAGTTTGTATGATATGAGAAATAGAGAAGAGAATAGAGAGAAAATTGTTGGCTTAATGTGGAAGAAAAGGCTAGAACTACATAGATTTTGAACCTATTTCCTTTGTTCTTGACAGTTAATTACTTTAGCAGTTTTTGAGACTTTATAACATACTTCTCTAGCATTCAGACTTTCTATTTTTAGTGAATGTGGAAAATCTGAGGTACTGCTTTCATTTTTCTTTAAAAACCAGTGGTAAGCTGTACAAACTACTGGAATGTTTTAAGCATTTTTCTGCAAGAATTTACAGAATTATGTCTTGTATTTGTAGTGGAAATAGATATTGTAGTGATTAATCAATAATAAAACTTAAGATTTTTATTTGTATTTAGAAAGGAGAGGAAGGAAGTTTGGAGCACTTCATAGTAAATAAACGAAGAGAGTAAGGATTGGGATCACTTCTGATTTGGGAGTGATTACTATAGAATAGTAAAATATAAATCTATATTTAATAAGCTGCTTTATGTCTTGGATCCTAAATGAGCCCAAGTGAAGTGTCTATGTCAGGGGTGTCAAACTCAAGGCCCAGGGGCCGAATCCAGCCTGCAGGGTGCTCAGATCTGGCCCGCAGGACTGCCCTGGAAACAGCAAAGGACCGGCCCATGGGGCCTCTGCCAGCAAAAACAGCTTGGAAGGGGTGCAGATGGCCCTCCCATGCTCATTTTCGCTGGCAGAAGATTGCAGGAGGCCGTCGCAGCTGAAAAAGGAGTTTGGGAGCCCATTTTCACTGGCAGAGTGCTTGTGGCACCACAGTCGCCCCTAACACAAGTGGTGTCGAGCTGGCCACGCCTACCCCAGCCCCACAAGGTCAAACACAACCCTGATGCTGCCCTCAATGAAGTTGAGTTTGACACCCCTGGTCTATGTGCTAATAGATCTCTTTTTGCTGCCTGCCCCAACTCTAATCACATTTATTGCAATAAAATAATATTACAAAGAAAAGTATCTGACATTTTGTACATCGTTGGAGAGGTTGTTTGGTTTTGGTTTTTTTGCAAGAATATTTCTGGTCCAGTAGCAGGCCCCATAAATTTTGTCAGTGACTTCAGCCTAACAGTTTATTGTAGACAAATTCTTATATAGGAAAAGGAGTTCTAAGTAGCCAAGAAAAGAATGCTTGTATTCACCTTTGCTACACATAACTAGATGAAGTCTTAAATCAGTATCATAAGACAAAATTGGCAAGGTATTGTATCTCTTTGAAAAAGAATGAAAAATAGTGATAATTATGTGAAAGTTCCTTTCTATCAGATCCCTCTCCTGTGTCTAAGTTGAAGATATATAGAACATGAAATTTCTTGCCTAACAGACATGAAAAGCTAGTAAGATGTTTGCATGTGAAAATTATCATATATAAAACATACTTGTCTTTGTCTTGTTTTCATGTTATCTCTGTACTTGAATCTTTAAGAGTTGGAAATATTGGGTTCCAGTTGAACTGTTTAGTTATCTGACCTCACTGAAGCATCCAAATCTAGCCAACAAAGTAGCAGAAGTGTATACTTATATTTTGTAGTATAATTTGATACCAAGTTGTATCCTCAATTGTCTAATTGCTGTATTTTACTGGTTTAAGTTATGTGAGTTTTTAAAAAGCATTGGAGATGAAGTTGATTTCAGATTGTGCTATGGTTCATTAGAATATTTCAGTATTTATTAGCCTCAAACTAGTTCCTTGAATTATGAGAGCTCCTGATGGAAAGCTTAGATTTGGCAGAAATTTTAGCTACATATAATGCTCTGATATTCAATCTCAGAAATCATTTTCAAATCATCATCATCATCATCATTACATAAGCAAGCCTTTCTGTTTTAGACAGAAACCATGCTGTTTAGAATCAGCGTGTGAATAGTGTTTTACATATAGCCCTCAACTTACAAACAGTCGCAACTGACTGAAGTTAAAATGGACCACGCAGAAGGTACTTAAGACCTGGTTCCAATTTCCCAACAGCCCCTATCCCACACAGTCACATGAGTGCACTCAGCAACCAACCCACATTTTTGGCTGTTTGTAGCATCGCATAATCATATGACCCTGATTTGGGATATTTTTGCTAAACTTAGCATTTACTTCAAGTTTTCGGCAAAATCAGTCCATAGCAAACAATGGGTTTGCTTAATGAGCACAGCATTTACTTTACAACTGAAAAGGGTTATAAAATGAGTCCAGTGATATGATGATCTGTTTTACAACCATCACAACTTATGACCATAATGGGTAGTTTGTTAGGAATACTAAATAAGGTAGCAGGTGGTGACTTTAACAGAGAGCTCATCTGTTAGGGAATACAAGGGTCTAGTACACTTGACTATGTCTTAACCTCATATAACCTTATTATACTGGTAGTTTCATTTAAATTGGATATGGATCGATGGTGACTATTCATCACTTTTACTTCATAAGGGTCTTAGCCCCCAACTGACTTCCTTGGTCAGTTCTTTGAAAATTAAGGATAATGATGTAGGGTTAGTCAATCCTAGGATTAGATGATTAGATGATGATTAGAAAGATTGGTAGAAAATCCTATATTCATTAATTTACACATATGTATTTAAATTCACTTAATTCTCCTTTTGCAATCTCTGTCCCAGTTATCAGAGACCATAGCATTAGATAATTCTTTGATGGCAAGTTTTAAGATACTATTTAAAATGATTTAAAATACCAAAGGGAGGTACTTTTGATTTTTTTTT